GTATCAATGAAAACTAAGATACAGGGGTAGAAGGGAACAAGATGAAGCGAGGACAGTGAAACAGTCCGGTTTCAAGCCGATGTTTTCGTTTGCGGGGCAGGCGGAAAATCATTCTGCCCTCACCGAAGCTAGTGACGCTCACCGCCCGCGTTCACCCCAAACCGATCTGGGTGACTTGAAGCAACGCGATCCCTCCTCTATTCGACGACACAACAGCTTCGATTGTTCACGACGTTACGACCTGCTTGACGACTTCCACCTCGCGCATTTCTGTCTTCATCGTACATAGATTTTCCTCCACATCTTGTGTCCCATTTCAAATCTCTTTCCGCACAGCTTCTTCCGTGCTCTGAGTCGCCATCCCACCTTCCTTTGTTACACCCTATTCTGGCAACCCGAACTTAGATACTCTCTTGATACGATGGCTACCCCTACTGGAGTTGGTATGTTAAACATTTTCAGCGGTCGTCCATCTACTCATCTTTCACAGAAACAACGAAAGTTGTTCCTCTTACTTGCCATGGGCACTCGCGCCCCGTCCCTCATATTCACTTCTCTGACCTGGTCGAGGAAGAGCAATACTACCTCATATCTGCATGCAAGGGTATGGATTAATACGTGGTGCAATACAATGGTGTAATCTAAGGGCGAAACAGACGGAAATCCCATGCTACGCGACGGCCTCACTGGCGACTGGTGAGTGGAGGCTCATTGCGCTGTTTGGTTACGAGCGAAGGTTGATATGATGTAGGATTGGTACTTTCCTCGGCCATAAAGGCGCGGTCTGGCAAGCTAGACTTTCGACGGATGCAACTCTTGCTGCCACTGGTTCGGCAGACTTCTCTGCGTGAGTCCAACAAGCCTCTTCGGACTATCCCCCCTGATCAAGTGTTAATTGGAACAGCAAAGTATGGGACACGACCACTGGAGAAGCCCTCCATACTCTGCAACATAATCACATTGTGCGGGCCGTTGCTCTGCCAAGGCAGCCAAGTCCCAAGGTTCTAGCCACCGGTGGAATGGAGAAGAAGCTCCGTATTTTCGATCTTTCGGACTCGGCGTCGTCAAACGTATCGAACGGTACCTCTGCAACACCTCCTAGCTTCGAAATTGGCGCAGGCGTACATGAAGGCACAATCAAGTCTATTGTCTGGACTGCCGATCCAAACATTGTTATTACTGCTGCCGAGGACAAGAAGATTAGGTGGTGGGATTTGAGGACACAAGTCACCATTGGACAGTACGCTGTAGACGGTGTAGTTGGGTCCTGTGAGTTGGATAACACCTCTACCGATGGCGTTCTAAACGTTGCGGCGGGAAAGACTGTCTACTTTTTCAACAGCGCATCGCCCGGATCGTTAATCAAGTCGATCAAGACGCCTTACGAGACCGGTAGTGTGGCTCTCCATAGCGGCAACCGAAAGTTTGTCACTGGAGGTAGCACACAGAACGATACATGGGTGCGGGTTTGGGACTATGACACAGAGAAGGAACTGGGTATGGCACCATTCTTATCATCCTACATTTATATACTGATATCAAACAACAGAGACTAACAAAGGCCACCATGGTCCTATCTGGTCTGCCAGTTTTTCGCCCGATGGTAAACTTTACGCCACCGGCAGTGAAGATGGAACCATTAAGCTTTGGAAGCATACCACTGGCCCCTATGGTCTCTGGAGATGATTGCGACATGTTGTTATGTTCAAGCGTTAGATGGATTTGTCGGCAAAGTACTTAGGTACGTTTTAAGCGATGCATATAATTCCGCTGGATATGGTTCAGCAGTACCGATAGATACCCGCATAGAATTATCGGAAGTTATACTCTTATCGCCCCACAGCATGCGCATTCAGCCTCGCCAATTATCAGTGTCGGGACGTTTGTTCCCACCGATTATGCCACTAAGCTTCCACACGGCTTTCACTAGCCTCTAAGCAGCCTAGTTCAAGTCCCCCGCCGTTGCCGACAGCAGCATCCCCGCCCATGAATTTCCCGTTTCGGTCTTCCGACAGGATCAACACCACGTCGATGTCATACTAGAGCTAGTAAGGGTCATGATAGGCGTGTACTGCGGGTGATAACAGAAAGATACGGATGATGGTTAATCCAAACCTGGTTGTTGACCAGTGCCAAGATCGGTCACAACCGTCGTGAGATAAAAGCTGGTACTCCCCGTACGGAAGCATTCCGTCATCCATTACACCGCCACCTTTACGTTCGATACTTCCAATCCTTTCAGCAGTGAAACATTGTTTCTTGTTGATAGATCACCTGCTGATAGATTACTTGTTTTTCTTAACATTGCTGGGTCTCTTATAGAGTTCGAGTTCTATAATTATCCCACAAGATGGGAGAGAAAGAAACAGAGATCGCCCCTGCTCCTAGTGTGGATCTGGATGAGGGGCAAATGGAAGCACAGAAGCAAATGCGAGACATTGGTGCTGATTTGTACCTCGAGGTTCAGCAATACTCGCGGGAAGAGCTCGACGCCGAACGACAAATCGTACTGCGAAAAATTGACTGGGTTATCATGCCAATGGTAAGTATCGTATTTCGAGGATTTTGAATTGTCACTGATTGATATATATTCAAGATCTGTATGACATATACCATTCAATTTCTTGACAAACTTTCCCTCAACTATGCATCGGCCTATTCACTCATCCCCGACCTTGGCCTTGAAGGTCAACGATATTCCTGGGTTGCCGCCATCTTCAATTTCGGATACCTCTTCTGGGCCCTTCCTGCAAACTACCTAATCCAACGCCTGCCTGTTTCGAAGTATACCGGAACCATGATCCTCACTTGGTCAATCCTGCTATGCTGTCATGTCGCGGCGAAGAACTACACTGGCATACTTATCCTCCGCTTCCTTCTGGGCATGTTCGAAGCCAGCATCAGTCCCGCTATAATGAACATCGTCAGCATGTTCTACACCCGTAGCGAACAGCCGCTCCGCATGTGTGTGTTCCTCGCTTTCAACGGCATGGCTACCATGGTTGGTGCCCTGCTCGGATTCGGTCTAGGACATGTCGAGTCCCCACACATCAAATCATGGCAACTCATCTTCCTCGTGATTGGTCTGATGAACTTTGTCTGGGCCTGGGTTTTCCTTTTCTTCATGCCGGATTCGCCATCGAACGCCAGATTCCTTACCCATAAACAGCGAATTGTGGCAATCGATCGCATTGCAGGAAATATGATTGGTGTCAAGACAAAGCAGTTTCAACCGTCCCAAGCACTGGAAGCTGTCTTGGATATCAAAGTGCATGCCTTGATGTTAATCGGCCTCGCTTGCGGTGTTATCAACGGCGGCGTCTCCAACTTCGCCTCCGCACTGATCAGAGGATTCGGTTTCTCAGGTATCTACGCTACGCTGCTACAACTTCCAACTGGTGCCTTTGAATTTGTTCTCGTCCCTCTGTGCGGTCTTGCAGCAGGGTATTGGAAAGATAGTCGCTGCATCATCCTCGCCTTGATCTGTCTCCCACCCCTCGGCGGTCTTCTCGGCATCCGTCTAACACCTTTGTCTGAAAGATGGTCACTTGTTGGCTGCACATGGCTCCAGTATCTAATCGGCGCTCCTGTCATTCTATCTTGGAACCTGCTCACTACCAACATTGCCGGACACACTAAGCGCAGCACTGCAAATGGAATGTGGTTCACTCTCTACGCTGCAGGCAACATTGCAGGCGCCAATATCTTCTTTGCGCGGGAAAAACCGAGATATTTCAGCGCGTTGACGGGTTTGATTGCGTGCTACTGTGGAATTTTTGTGATTGCGATTGCATTGATGGGATATATGAAATGGGAGAATAAGAGACGTGATAGGAAATATGGACTGGGAGAGCATGGGGTAGCGGTTGATGAGGGGTTCATGGATAAGACAGATGTGAAGAACACGCATTTCAGGTATGCGTTGTAGGAACATAGATATAGACTGTTGTGGGACTTCGATATTCGAATCAATTAGTTAGACGATAAACAGAACGAAAGCATTTGTAAATAATCTCAGGTCATTTGAGGTTGTAAATTTCTGACGTAAAATTTCACGTATGTAGACACATTCGATAGAATCCTGTGCAGTTTTAGGATGATCATTCTTATCCAAAATGAAAGCTATAGCGCCTTCAGGAACCCCTGTGTCGACTTTAAAGTTATACAAGCGAAAAAGCATGACAGCTATGCATTATTGGATACAGTGGTAAAAAGATCATCGCTCATAAAAGTTGGAATGTATGGTAGGCAATTCAAAGAGTGCAATGGAAATATTGTTGATTCTAAGAACTTGAAAACATTCTGCTCCTCGAAATTTCGCAAGATCCAAAAACTAACAACAATATGGTCTCTCTAACCTACTAAACACAACACCACCAATCAATCATCCCGCATCCAAAATCCATTACGAACGCCAATCACTCTAAGCCGATCCAACCTGACACGATCACTATTCCACAACTCTCAAATTCCGTGGCACATACATACCGGGCAGTGCAGCTTTGGCAACCAAATTCTCAAAGTGGGGGCCGGTACCTAATCATGCCATGTAAGCCTGTCATTCGCCGGCGCAACGCCGGATGGCTGAGCGCCTCAACATAAGCGGGCCAGAAGCATTACTATTTTTGACCAAAGCGCCAGTACGGTCAGATCAAGGTAAAAGTTGGAAGTGCGATGGATTTCGCCCCTATGGAAAGTTTGGTATCACAGAATGAGGGGGTTAGTGGGTGAAAATAAGAGATGGGGATCTGCACTCGGCGTAAAGAAACTTGTGTAATAAATGTAATGAATGAATACTTGAATAGTCAATTGAACTTTTTAATCTCTGAAGCTGACCGGCTATTACCTATCCCATGCGCAAGAGGTCAGAGGTATAAGAGGATCCGTTCAGGGGGCTGATGCAATCACGTGACCAAAATATTCATTCACTAATTAGCTCAAGTCCAAACTCCATAACCCGCACTCTCACAACCCACGACCCCCACAGGTGCAAAAAAAATTGGACTTGCTGGGAATCGAACCCAGGACCTTTCCCATGCTAAGGGAAAATTACTAATCAAATTGTTAGATGCCGTTGAGCTGAAAACCGATGAGACGAAAACTTACTACCACTAAACCACAAGCCCGATTGTGATTGGTTGATGAATTATGGGTTTTCCATTCCCAAGAGTGAATATATATCCAATCTTTTTGTTTGACGACAGACGAGCAATGAAATGTCAAGGTGGATAAATGTGGATATTCATTGATGTAGTTACCAATGTCAAGTGAAGTTAATTGTGGATATAAAGCGAAGCGGGCTGAACAGAAAAATTCTCAAAAATGCAAAGATCCCAACCGAGCCCCACCCATCCGCCACCAAATCATGCTAATTCAGATTTCCGATTCCGATTGCACCCCCACCATCCATCCGTGTGATCATCCAAAATGAGGTGTCAAGAATTACATAGAATATAATCTAGATTTTAGCAAAAGGCCTGCCTTCTCATTTTGTTTTTGCTCGGCCGTGTTGTGTGTTGTGATGAACCCAATGTATCGTGAAGATCAAATCGGTTCCAATTTCGGGAATGGTAATGTAATAAATAAAAGATGCATGCTTTATATCTCTGTCGCTGTTCTTCTTTCTTAAATTTTTGATTTACTTTTGTACATGTTGCCCATGTACAACTGGTTTACTCCCATCGACTTCTACGGGCCCCTGCCCTGCGTACAGTTCCTGTGGTGGGTATTGTGAGAATTGTGGAGCGTGTTGTTGCTCCGGTGTGTACACTTCATGCGCATATTTTTCTTGCTGGACGGGGTGGGCATGCGCAAAGCCGTTGTGGTTGTAGGGATTATGGCTGGACGGATTGCTTTCAAGCTCCGGTTTATTGAGGTCGTTGGTGTTATTTTTCTTGCCTCTTCTCCAGAAGAAGAAGGCGAGGCCGGCGAGGAGAGCGAGGCCACCTACAACGCCGACGACGATACCGCCAATGGCGCCGCCTGAGAGACCAGATGAAGGTTCAGGGGTTTGACTAGTGAGAGCTGTGGAGGTAGGGGAGTTGGTTGCGGTTTGGGAGGCCGCGCTGGCACCAGTGGAGGCGGAAGAGCTGCTCGCGGATGGCGTTGGTGTAGCTGTTGCCAAAGCGGCCTTGATATCGAACGAATAAGTGGAGGCAGTAGGGTTGGCAGAGCTTAGAGAAGAGAAGGTTTCGTTTATTTTCGCGCCAGTTATGTTGACAAAAGGGTTGGGGGGAGTCGCCCAGCAAATGTTGATTTGGTTGGTCCGTTGTGTGCATTGCTCTCTGAATGGGTTGTTAGAAATGATATCGAGGGAATTGGAGAAAAACATACCTCGAGTTCAAACAACAGTATGAACCACAACCAAGTTGGTTTGTACCTGGAGTGTTCTTCTCAGATCCACTGCAGGTAGTACTGCCAGACCAACAAACAGATCCTTGTTCGGGCCCGCAGCAATACCATTTGTCGAGAACGGTCTCATGTGTGCAGACATTGGGCGCAATACAATCAAATGCTAATCCTTTGGGGCATTTCCATCTGGTAGCATTGGTCGAGAATACAAACTGGTCGTACTGGGCGAGTACACCAGACGCGCAAAACAATGCCGCCGAAAGAAGAACAAAGCGAACCATGGCGAATGCGAGAATCGTAGACAGTACTCAGGAGTACAGGCCGTGTAACGGTGATTTGAAGGGATGGACAACAGACAGAGAACGTCCAGAGGGGTCGCGAAGGGCGAAGGAGGATCAGTTTATCGAGGCCAGGGCAATTCAGGGCAGCAGTCAAGGGCATTCAAACAGCCAGCACCTTCGGCCCTAGCAGCCTTAGCTTTTCGAACTCCGCCCCCAAGAGGGGCTAGTTAGTGTGTGCAATCTCATGCTTTGCAGTGAGATGTGCCAAAGGCGGAGCCTTAGTGTGATCAGACCAAGGAGAGATTCTGATGCGTGTGGTGGAGCAGACCAAAAGGGGGCCCTGTCGCAGCGGGTACAACGGACAAGCATGGGGCAGTGTTGGGCTTCTGCGACGAGCCGACGTGTCGCGGGGTTTAAGGGAAGTCCGTAGTCTGGTCATTCTGTGTTGTTGGGACGGACAATTTCGAGCCATGTGTTCTTCGAGGATATATGATATCGGAAAGAAGTCGGATGAATGGCGATCAGCTCCTGTGGTGCAATCAAAGGTTTCTCTCGTGGATGAAGCCGTTGTTGCGACCCTTCGCGAGATGTGGCCAAGCGGAATCGATACCAGAGCTAAGCCTTGCCCAGGTGTGCAATTCACTGAACCGCCGTGCTAACCCATATACAGTCTAGTATGCACATAACGCCCTGATTTCGCGAACCGACATGGGCGGCGCCACCTACCTGCACTCTCTCCCCCTCATAGCAAAACCAGCCATCCATCTTTTGCCCTGAACCAGCCAAAGGACAAATGCACTTGTTAGCCGCGCTTTTGTCCAATCTGAGTCTAGACGAATGTTCTCTTTTTAGAATCCCCGGTATCCTACCAACCAAGCCAGTTGACCCAAAGTCATGGACAATTCCACGTGCGGTGATTACGGATCTTAACTATTGCGACGTTCGACTATGATTTCAACGGCGCTCGACGGCGCGGGACGCCTTACCACGCAATGTCGCAGAAGCGTTCGAAGTCGCGATAAACGGACACAAACCCCCCTGGAGATAACAAAGACGATGTCGATCTCTGCGCATGAGCCCACTTTGAATCATGATGGCTCTTGCAGAAATGAACGAGGTGCAACTACATATTTGAACAAGAGGCAGTGGCATGCGCTATGTACAATACGACTTGTGGACGTCAAGATGCGGGTGCGAACGCCCGCAACCACATCTTACAGAACTCGTTGCCAACTTCCAAGACTTTGCGACCAAAAAACTCTTGTCCTGACCCTTATGTCACCGACGAGGCTGGTTGAAGAATAATAGCAAGAGAATTGGCTCTGAGGAAGTTTCGGGTATGAACAGTCTTGATTGGACAAGTGTGAGACAGGAGACCTCAGCAACAACCGCATCTGCTCAAGCAAGTATGTATCGACAACTAACAGCCGAAAGATTCGCCTCTTTAGCATAGGATTCTGTCAACGCCGTAGTAGCTGTGGAAGTAGCAAAGGTAAAGGAGTGAGGCCGATAAATGGTGGTTGACATGCTACATCTGGCCTCCACGTAGCAAGCGAAACTTCCTTACTATCATTAATTTTGTTTCTCCTATCAATATCGCAGTCGTATTTTAAATTCAACAAATTCCGACCAAAATGCTGTTCAAAAGCTCTTTTCAAGTCTTCTCATCCGTTCTCATTACCCTCATCTATCTTTCAAGTTCAATGCCCGTTGCAACTTACACTCTGAATATAAGCTCCTCGAACGCATCACTCCAAAATCCAGGTCCAACTCCCACATTCGCGTCCAATGCTCTCCTCCACATAATCTGCAACAAATCCTATCCAGATGGTCTCATTATATTGTCTCAACCTTCAACTTCACTTCTCAATCTATCGAATCCGGGTCCAAAACTCGAGCAGAACAAAAACATACAAATGATAACAAGTACGTCTAACTCCACCCACTTCATTCATCCTTCGATCTTTAACAAATTCCCAAGCAAATGCATACCAAGACTCATTTCTCTGGAAAATCTCTCTTCCACAATGGTCAACCCCGGCTCTCCCTTTCTTCTTGAAAGTCCAGAACACTGAAAACGAAAACGAATCAATCACAAGCGGCCCCTTCTACATCACACCTCCCCCCCTCCCCCCATTCTTTTCATCATCCGCGCCATCCCATCACCCCAATACCCCACACCCCCGCTCCACAGCCATAAACACATCCCAGCTCCGCGCCGACCTCACCTCAGGTGTCATACTCGGTATTGTCCTCGGATTCGTGGGTCTGGTAGGGGTCTCAGGGACAATCTTCTACTGGCTTTGTTCCAAGAGACGCAGGGCTACGGTGATGAATGCGCAGGGGAGTGCGCACAGCCTGAGGGATATTGGGGTTGCGGGTGCGGGTTTGAGGGGGAGGACGGTTGTTACGGTTACGGCAGGGAGAAAAAAGAAGGATGGGGCAAAGGGGGAAGAGAGTGTGGGTGTTATCAAGGATTCAAGAAAAGAGGGGGAGAGTACTAAGGAAGGGGAAAAGAGTTATGAGGTGGGTAGGAAGAAGCAGCCTGATTCTGTCTAGGCCTTCGAGGTGGGATGAGGATAGTTTGTACGTTGATGAGAGGCATCAGGTACGTGCTGGTTAGGGTACGATCTCCTCCCATCACATCAGTGACATTCCCTCAATGACCTAAGCACATCTGGATTCCACTCTCCAACCCATCAGATCTCTGCGATCTTGCAAAAGTGTCAGGTGCACCACGCATGACAAGCCAACATTCTGTCCGTACATATCTTACATTCATTCATTGTTCAACACATCAAATAGGACAATCGTAATCCTAGGAATTCTACTCCCACTCGTACTACTAACACTCCAAACCCGAACGATACATCATAAGTCCATTAATTACCCTCTCCTCATCCCGCAAAACAACAACAAAGAAAAACACCCCATCCTATTTCCGCGGGGAATCCCGGATTATGGAAATACTTCTTTGCTTGTAAGTCGCCCAAAACACACACACACACACACACTTGTAGAGTAATATGCCCCTCATTCTTCTCAAACACAGACAAAACAAAATCCAAGTCTTGTCCCCCAATCAATATAGCCACGCCTCCGTATACGCATACACATAACGTACCCAACTATGGAAAAATACACGTCCAGAGAGCAGGGAAATGTATGATTCTCAATCTCCTATGGAAACGGGGTGATTTGCGCGGCTACATCATGGCTGGACTAGGTACCATTGTCTAGAATGTGGAGCGGTGGTAGTCTTCTTGCGTGTGATGAAGTTTCCTGCTCCGTCGACATGCTGGCTGGGCTCGGCACGTGTCAGAGAAGGTTAGAACGGGTTACCACCTAGCGCTTGTGTAGTAGATATCCATTCATCGAGTCGAGTTGAGTGATATCTCGTGGTATACTGGTACAACATGGTGAAAATAGTCACTTATTTAATGCAACTCTTCAGTTTCTTAATTTTTTTAATTTCTCGTTGCACTTTCATGACA